GCTGAAAAGGACCTCTGGACATAGTCTTGTCCAGCCCTCTTCTCACAGCAGGCCCCCAAAGCTTGGGTCACTCAGGGCCATATTCACGTGAATTTTGGCTATATGCAAGGGTGGAGATTATACAGCCCTTCTGGACAGCCTATTCTGGTGCTTAGCCACTTCATTGTTTAAAAATCAAAACCAAACCTTACCTAATTTTTTTTTTTTTCCCTGCATTGCAACGTTTGTGGCCTTTAGTCTTAATCACCGTGAGCTTTTCAGAAGAGTCTGTGCCTCTCTTCTCTGTCTTCCCAGTAGATAGCTGCAAACAACAATAAGATCTCCGCTGAGTCTCCTTCAGGCTGAAACGTGGTTAAATACAAACTGCACTACATAGGGAAGGACCCTCAGTATTCGGTGCCTGGCTCTTTACCAGGAGAGTATGAAAGAAACGGTATCTAACCAGGTGTGAGTTCACCGATTGATCCAGTCCACCGATTCACAGTTTGAATTCACTGACTGAACTGTGTGTCGGGGAGTGCGAGTACCTTCGGTTCCTGCAGACTGCTGCCTGCTGAAGCTGCCTGAAACCTCAGGGCTGGCTCTTCAGCAGAGGACTGGGCTGGAAACCACACAGAGCTCGGCTCTGGCCAGGGAAGGGCACTGGCAGCTGCGCCTGCATAGCTGAATTCATGTTCTCACTTCAGTGAGTTCTGTGCTCAAACAAAACCAAAAGTAAATATGCCATTTTAAATGGTGTATTGTGTAGATTGGTGTTGACTATGTCTGAAGTCTAATGTTTTTTATTATCAGTAGTGATTTGTTTTAAAAGGGAAAAAATATTCCCAGCTTTTTAATGCTTCGTTTCCAGTAAGATGTACTTTCTGTACTAGGTGTGTGATTGGCATTGTACACGCAAATACTGCATAAATGCTTTCTCTATTAAAACTGAGAATGCAAGTCATGCATACAGGGCATTAAGTATTAATTTTTAAGATTAGCCTCCCTGAGAGTCTTTGAGCAGTGATGTAAACTTGCCCTTGCAACAGTTAGCACAAACCCAAACTTTGAAAGTAAGGCTCTTCTCAAATTTTGAAGTATTTATAGCTGATTTCTAGCTTTTTTTTTTTCTCTTGTGACAGTCTTGCAGTAAAAGACAGTGCTGGATTAGTGGCCCTAGAGGCTTGTTTTTTGAAGAGGTAAAATGTTCTTAAGCAGTCAGATAAATATTTGCTCTGTTGATCCAGGTTCTCCATAAACTCTTCACCAGTGAGACCTTGTGGTGCAGAAGTAACACGGAGTTTGTGTACTGATTCTTCTTTATCTATTCCTAGCCTCCAGCATCCATACCTCCCCTTGCTTCCAAATAAGCAACAGAGCTATACTGAATTTATGCTTGTGTTGACAGCCTAGAAGTAAGTCTAGAGTATCCCACTAGGTTTAGCCATTGAGCAATTCTTTTCTGTTTTTTGTTCCCCAGCTGCAACTCTGATGTTCTGGAAATGGTTGAAATCAAGTATCCAGAGAGAATTTATAGAGGATGCCCTGGCCTTCTGTATAACACCTAATGGCAGGCAGCTTAGAACGGCATCCTTTCTGAAGCTGTAAATCAGGCTGTTCGGTTTGCCTGAAAAGCACTTGGGTTTTTTAGGGTTTTTTTGGGACCTTGAGGGCTGACTAAATATATAAGCTTTGTTAATGTTGCTTCATCAGGTGAGATGGGATGTAGAAAGCATCTAACAAGTCCAGTAACTTTTTAGTGTGTAAAAGACTTGATGTTCATTGGAAAACTGAAAATAGTTCCATATGGTTTTCCATAAAGACTTTAATTTTTTTTGGAAAAACATTAATGACTTCAGGATTTCTGCAGCTCACGTCTCTGTTAAATGTGTCCAGCTGACACATTTCACTTTAATGTTCAAAACCTGTTATTTTGGGGCTGTATGATAAATATAGTAGTATGCCTGTACCTTTGTAAGATTGGGGAACTTTCCCCTCTCTTAACTCATCTTTTGACCTACCAAGTGCCTAGTATTTTTTGATAATGAAGCTGTCCGTGGTATTTGTATGGCTTCCTTGGCCCCTTCTGTTTTCACACCTATTTCCTTTCACGACTGAGCCCCATGTAGCTTTAGCCAGTTGACTGCACCTTGCCTTGACCAGCTGCCGCTGCTTCTGCTGGCCTCCTGCTTTGACACTGGCCACCCTGGTCCGAGACAGCAGCCTGGCAGCAGGCATTGGATGTTCCTAAACGGTGTGGTGCTCAGTGCAAAGGTTGTCCAGTTTGGTGTTTTATCGGTTGAAGGTGTATGAAAACAGGATATTTCCCTTTAGCTGTGTTAGCTGGGCCGTGGGACTCTGAGGGTTAAAGGATGTTTCGCTTCAAACACTGGGTATCAATTATGGATATAATTGGTGTATCTTCAAAACTTATTTTAAAATAACTGGTATATTTTATTATGGGAGGAAAACATCTGAGTGGATTATATCCAGTTGTATAATGCGATCACATCCTGCTCTCCAGTGCATCTTGCTAATGCAATAGCAATGGGGGTTTCCCATCTGCTTTTGCAATGAATTCACTGGACAGTCTCTGAGCCTAAGAAGCTATTACGTCTATCGGTGTCTGCCTCTCTATTCTCAGCTTAGTAGCAGTATAGGTTTGGCTTTGTGCCACTGCTATGCATAAGCTCATCTGTACAGTTGTTATTCTGGGTTCTGATTTTACTACAGGACTTCTCGCTGATGCTGATTAGATCAGTTTTTAACACAGACTGTCTGCCTGATGTATTCTGTGAGCCTAGCTGTTCCTAGGTTTGAGGGGGCTGAGAGCAGCAGAAAGCTTTGGCTGCTTGCCTGGCTGGGTTGGTGAAGATGTCTCTAGCCATAACTGGTAGCGTAAGTGGCTTGGAGGTGACTAGCCCTAACCTGTCACTTTGTGCAGAGCTGCGTTTCTGCCGCATCCACCATGCGTAGCTGTAAAATGCTCTGGGGTTGTTAGGAGTGTGCTTGTATAAACTTCTGCATTTAAATTCTCAGCATTTGAAATTTCAGTAAGTATATTTATCTTGCTGAGGGGGTTCCTTCCCCTGTGTTCTCTTTGAATATGTACTTCTCTCTTCTAAATAAAATACATCTTAATCTTCCAGTTACTTTTTAATGATCTTGTTGCCGCTATGTTCTCTTGATCGTAGAGAAAGAGGGCTGGAGGCAAGCTGCCCACTAGTGTCACAGCTACTACCTGCTGTACCTTCTCTTGCATTGAAACTATTTTTCCACTCTGAACTTGAAGAGAATGAGGTGTGTTCTTTTGGTTGGCTTTTTTGGGGTACAGTTTGTTTACTCTTTACACTATATGGCATAAAGATAAGTCTGTTTGGGGTTTTTTGAGCTGTGGGGTAGGATTTTTTCTTTGTTGTGCCTCATTTATTCTCTGGTTATTACCTGTCAACTTCATTTACTGTCTGGGGAAACAGATCTATGGATGCAGAGTGAGGGTCACAGGGAGCAAAACCAGCATTGACTACTGACTTGTCAACAAAACGATAAAACATCCATCTTCATCTTGCAGTTGTCTGAAACAAGGATTAAATCACAGATCATCCTAAGGTGACAGGGGAGCCTTTAGTAAGTGGGTATCAATTTGTTTACTTACCAGACCAAAACCACTTTGACTGTTCTTATACGTTCTCTCCGCAGAACTGGAGTCTTGTTCTTTTCTTAGTACATTGTAAAAGGAACGGTGCTCGGTTAAAACCTTGTGCTTCTCCAGCCTCCTGGCATGACCCTTCCATTAGGTTACAAATTATTTTTGTCATTGTGTTTGATGCATCCGTTATTGATAGTGTTTTCTGGTTGGATTTTGTTTAGCTGGCTGAGTAATTCTTCATATATTCCTGAATCTCAGGTCTCTTATGATTGTTCATTTTTTAACCTTACTTTATTTTTGTTTTTGTGAAACATGGAAAATGCTTGCAAAAGACATGTAGCTGGCTTCTTTGTGCATGTAATCTGAAATTTAATTGCAAAGTTTGAAGAGTATGCAGGAGATTGTGCAGCGAGCGTTGTTTGCTTGCTTAGAATTGCCAGGCAAAAAAGCTGCATCCTTGCTGCAGCCATAAAATATTATGGCAAACATCACTGTTTCAGCTCAGTTATGGTCACATGTTTTCAGCAGTCTTTGTTTGCCGGCAATGGTGTATCTACTCAGTTCTGTCCTTAGGCAGGTGAGATGTATTTGATGTGTCCTAGTGTTTAGCCTCTCGTGCAACTCAGGGTTTACGCATTACAGGTGTAACTGAGGGTGAGGAAGACAAAACACGAAATGGAGTATTTTGTTTGTCACTTCAGGCAGATACCAGATTTTATAAATTCATTGGTAGTTTTGATGTGCTCAGGGCCTCTCTTCCTCTGCAGGAAACTGATAGTAACGATTCACTGCAAAATGTTTGATGCACGTATGCTTGTAATGCTCATGCATTATACCTTGGATGTTATTTGAAACTAGAAAGTTAGGTACAGGAATAGCAAATCAACCTCATGGATTTTTAACTCTCTTCCAGGACTCATAGTTGGGGTGATCTTGAGATATGGGACTCCCTCTACCAGCGGCCATGACAAGCCGTTCAGCTGCTCGCAGGAGGACAGGCCCTTTACAACCCTGCTTGTCAACGTCAGTGGGAAGTTCTTTGAGTATACGCTCAAAGGGGAAATAAGCCCTGGGAAGATCCACAACGTGGAGCAAAATGACATGTTGCGAAAGGTGAGGGTAGACCATTTCGTGTGCTTGGCTGAGTGTTTCTCCTTTATCCGTGCTTCCCTCCCTCCTCCCCACACCATCCCATTTGAATGTTGGGTAGTATCAAGTGTCTGTGTTCCTGATAGTAACAGCACTTCAATGCTTAATTCAAAAGCACCTGCTGTATTATATCGCTGCTGGCGAAACTGTACTCTGTTGCATGTATGTAGTCCTCTCCCACAGCCCTTGATTGCTGTTTGAAGACTTACTGTCTGTTTCTAATGTCTGTAGAATTCACGAAGACCAGCTGAACAAAAAAAGCCTGATGCTGCCTTGTATAATACAATATAAGGAAAATTATCTTTTCCTAGTGAAAAGTGATTGTTTCTTAGTGGTTTTTTTTTCCTAGGGTTTTTTAATCTGTTTATTTTCAGGAAATAGTTACTGCTTACGTCCCTATAATCCACCAAATGAGACAGTCTGGTATTCAAAGTGAAATTCATCTATTAACTATTACTCAGATCTGCTATTTGGCTTCTTATTCTGTTCAGTGTCAAGAACTAACCATCTTTTGTGTGTATTAAAGCTAGACTTTGAAGTGTAGCATTGAGACTTTAGACTTGTAACCTAAAAATACTTCTTTCTGCTGACTATGAAGAGAGCTTAGGTGCCTGTTTATATATACCTGTCTGCTGTAGATATCTAAAGTCAGCTGAAATGAATCCTATTCTGGGAGTGCACACTTGTGTTTGTCTTCTAACCTGTGCTTAGACAGGGGTGAAGAGAGCCTAGTTAGTCTGACGTGTGCAGGTCTTCTGCTTGGATTTTAAATGTCGTTTTTTGTTCCTTACTCTAGTGTAGTCTTTCATAGATATCTGGAGCTTCCACTGAAATACGTGGACATGATGGATGATCCCAGTTCCTTAAAACCAGTCTTGTATCTGACCTGATTACAACAGCTATGCAGGGGCTAGACTTGCCAAAAAAAAAAAAAAATTCTTAAATAGCATCTCATCTGCAAATATATGAATATCGTTTACCACAGTAAGAGATATCTTCTCCAGCATCATCTCTATTAGATTTTTTTTTTTTCGTTTAAAAAGGGGACTGTGTTTGGGACTACTGCAAGACTATCATTGGTGATGGATGTAATGTCTGTTTTTCTAGATGCTGTTTACCACGAAGAGCTGCTGCTTTTTGCTGCTGCATATGTATAGAGCTGGCCAGTATTTTGGAGGGTCAACTTAGCCAGTTGTTTGCTATTTTGACAACCAAAAATAGTAGTTGTCAGAAAATGAAGGAGGAAAAAGACCTAACAGTTTGTGTTTGTCTGTTTCTAATTGAAGTTTCATATTTTATTTTTTAGGTAACATTTGACCCAGAAGTGTTTTTCAACATTCTGTTGCCTCCTATTATTTTTCATGCTGGTTATAGCCTGAAGAAAGTAAGTCTACTAATTTTCTGAGCAGAATAGTGGGTTTTTTTGGTTTTGGTGGGTTTTTTTGGTTGTTTTTTTTTTTTTAGAGAGAGAGACTGCTGATTTTTAGACAGAGACTGCTGATTTGTTCAGGAGTACAGTCTCCATTTCAAGAATTTTTTTTTTTTAATGGCAGTAAGAAAAATCTCATGTCCTCCATAGATGGTTAAGTCATATTGTTTTAAGAGAAAATACATGTACTTTTCACTATAAACACATTAAAGTCTATTTAATCTTGCTGATTTGTTTTCCTTTGAACGTTGCCAGAGGTTAACATCAATTTCATTTAAATTTAAAGATGTCCTGCTATGAATTGTTTTGGTCCTTCTCAAATATGCAAAATGCAGTAAATTATGCTGAGTAGACCTAAACCTGAATCCCGGTGGGGATGTGCCAGGCACTGAATGGCAGAAGGGCCCAGATTCTACACTGGCTTGGCGATACCGTGAGTTGGTGCTGGTTTTTAGTTTTGCAGCTAACGCTTAAATCTCTTATGAAAACATCTGTGTGGAAAGTTTCCTGTCAATAAGCTCCATGTAGGATTTAATACATGGTTCAGGTTTGGTTTATTCAATTTATTGAAGTTGGACAGAATTTACATTGGAGTAATGGAAGCAGTTCTCTGAAATGGAGGGGTGTTTCTGTGCAAGTTAATTTATTAATGCAAGTGTAGTAGTGCGCTGTATGTTTTTGAACAGGTGATATAACTTGTTTTAAACAAGTGTATAAACCTCTTTTTCCTGTGCAGAGACACTTTTTCAGGAATTTGGGGTCCATTTTGGCTTACGCCTTTTTAGGAACAGCAGTCTCTTGTTTTATTATTGGGTAAGTGAACTCTGTGATATCAGTTCCTTTCTACACTAAAGTTTAAGTTGATAAAGTGTATATTGAGCCTTCCAGAATGCCTCAATTTTGTAATTTGTTTGTTTGAGGATTTTATTTGTGTATCCTCCAGGCAAAATGCAAATGTAACTTTTGCTGAGATTTATCCCACTTCTAAACAATACTGTCCCTTGAAATGATATTGTCAAGTTTGAATCACTTGACAGGTCCACGGTACTAAAGAGCGGCATTGAGTTTTTGATGTAATGGTCCAGTCCAAAACAAAACCTTGTTAGACTCTTACGGGAATTGACTTTAACTTGAATTGTGGACACTACTTGTAATAGAATTTTAGCTATCGAACTTCTAGAGATGTCCCTTTCAGTGCCCACATACGTGTGTGTGCTCTCTCTTTCTCTCTCTGCATATGTGTATATATATATAATTTTATGTGTGTACGTACACACACATTTAAGATGGCTAGTCACGTTGGTTTACTTGCATACAATCTCTTATGCTGCTAATATTATTGTGTCTGGTGTATGGATATTCTGAAATACAGAAATCCTGAATTGCATGGGTGACCTTGGTTTGTCTCTCAAAGAATTTCACTAGAGAAATACTTTGAAGGCTATTCTTAGCTCAGAGCTTTTGGCCCATGTACTGTGTTGGTAGAAGGAATACTGAGGGGAATTTTGAGCAGGAAAATGTTCCCTTTGATGGAAAAAGGAAACAACCTATAGATTCTGTGTACTAGTGGTGCAAACAGATTTCATGCTTTGCTTACTGGTTTTAAATTATATATTCTGGATCATATATCACTTGACTCAGTTTATGGGGAAAAGAGGAGAATTAATTTTGAGAGCTTAGTGTTAAACTGGCAGTGTCCCATGGAGCTGTAGCATAACCAAGCCTGCCCGAAATATTGTTACTTGTGCTTTTCCTTTGCCTGCCTGAAATGCACCAACTTGTTTGACTTGGACTGTTTTATCCTCTTTCTCTTCAGGAATCTCATGTATGGTGTTGTGAAACTAATGAAGTTGGTGGGCCAGCTCTCTGATAAATTCTATTATACAGACTGTCTCCTATTTGGAGCGATAATATCTGCCACTGATCCAGGTAGCTTGCTGAACATTTTTTAATAACCTTCCAAAATAATCCTATTGCTAGGATTGTTGGCTGCATAGCACAAAGAAATTAACAGCACTTTATTCTCAGTTATGTTATGCTAGTATCTCTGATCCTCTTCTCTGAAATGCATGCAAATTCTGAGTGTTGTGAAAGCTGTTCTCTGTCGGTTTGGTGCTGGACTGGTATGACGTGATGGTATCTTCGGGGAAAAACGTAACTTTCCTGTTCAAATACTTTAAATATTTTTTCCCCCCAGTAGGTTTTTTGTTTAGTGTGCATCAAGTTTAAGACTGCAAATAGATGAAATTATTACATTGTCTGGATAGCAGGACTTCCTTCTTTATCTACGTTGCTTGGGACATTGGATAATTTAAGAGCAATATTTGAGGCTTTTAGGCTCTTCAGGTTTGAGGAATTTTTTTTTTCCTCCTTCAAATGAACTTCATGTTTTACCAGTTTAAGCAGAAGAATGCTTTTCTGGCAAAGTAATTTGAGCTTTTGCCAAAATAATCCAGTCGTCCTTCAAAGTCCAGCAGGCTCACGTAGGTGTCTTTGCTTGACAGGTCAGTCTGGAGAGCCGATGTGTGTCAGGGGCCAGGGTAGGGAGAGGCGAAGTATGAAGCTTGACATTTAAAACAGCTTATTTGAGGTGCTCAGTGGTGATTTGTGTGAAAATGGGAAGTAGCTCCTGTGATTGAGCTGAGCTCTGAACAGCTGGTGGTTGCACACAATTTATGCAAAAATCACCATGTGATTTTTTTTTTTTTGAAGCTCATATATGGGAATATCTTCAAGATCATGGTCTTTCATCTCAGACTTAAGTTTCCTGAAAGGATGGTTATACGTATTTACAGTCTTGCCCTTTTCAAATTCTGCACAAATGCACTCTCCTGTGGCATAGTGTATGCTTTGGGGAACACTTAGGATTATTAGCACTATTTTACAATGGCTGAAATAATAAAGCTATGTCAACAATCCATACAGCCTTTAAAAGTAGCACGAGCTGCACAACGTTTTGTTGATTATCTTATATGGAACATGTTCTACAAAAAATACCAGGGCTTTGGTAAAAGTGCTTTGTCTGCCCCATGCCCCTTGATCTTGGGGGCTTTCCTACAAACACTGTGCAGATGGGAGGACAGCAGAGCCACCTCCTAATGGAGCTGCCCTAAAACTGATGATGGAATTGCTTACCTATAGATAAACATGACTAGTCTGTTTCCCAGTTTAATTTTGATCCTGTACTTCAATTTCTGGGTTTTGTTGCTTTAGGCAAACTGGAAAGTCTGCTCCGTCAGCTCATGCAGTCGTTCCTGAAGTCAGCCAGTGTGGTTTTTCTCTTTTCTTTCTGTAGTTACCGTGCTAGCAATATTTAATGAGCTGCATGCTGATGTCGATCTCTATGCCCTTCTGTTTGGGGAGAGCGTGTTGAATGACGCTGTTGCCATTGTATTATCTTCGTAAGTAACTACCTGAATTTCTACTCTGAAATTACTTTATTGCTTTTGGTATTTGTCTAAAATAAATGCTTTTCCTGAGAAATATTATTTTGAATTTAAATGGATTGTCTTGAACTGGATTAATAAACATTGCAAACGTTTGTCAAGATCCCTCATGCATACATACACCAGAAAGGCAAATTTGCCTTCAGTATGGGATTGTCTCTTCTGTTGCTCAGGTGTTGCTGTTATGGAATAAAACTTTTCTGATACCACTTCTAACTTCTCATTGTGTTACTCTCTTTCTAGATCTATAGTTGCCTACCAGCCAACAGGTGAAAATACCCATGCTTTTGATGCAGCAGCTTTTTTCAAGTCTGTTGGTGTTTTCCTGGGAATATTCAGTGGTTCTTTCATGATGGGAGCAGTGACAGGGGTTGTGACAGCTCTGATATCCTTTTTCACGTTTAGCTCTGCCAGACTAGATGCTACATTCCGGTACTAACAGGACTTACCTGTTTCCAACTATAGCAATGTTGACGCTAGCTTGTTTTAATCTGAGCGTGAAGATGTGATCAGTATTCATGTAACCTTTGTCTATAGAAAGGCATATAGGTACCCACAGAAATCATCTTTTTCCAATATAACTGTGGCCACACTAGAAATTTTACTGATGTTGCTGCAGGCTGCAAGCCAAAGGGAGGCCCTAAATGGGCGTGTCCTAATATTCAGTTTCTTTTAAGGAAATTTTAAAAAAAATGGTTTTTATTATTAGGCTTGAAAGACATCTCATATGATAACTGGTGTTTTGATTCTGTTGTCAGCAAAATCATTAATAGCTATTTCTGACCTCACAGGGTTCTTTCTGAGTGTCCTGCATTTAACCTTTCTGCTGTCATCTGTCTTGGATAGGACTGCATCTCTACTGGAGTTAACATCATAACATGATGTGCTTTGCATGATCTGTCCTGCTCTCTTGAAGCTGACTGCTGCTATTTGGTTAGAGCTCCCAGGTGCTCAGTGGGCCATCTGTGTGGGTTTTGTTTTAGGCTCAGGTAGTAGACCTTATTAAGCCTGACCTGCTCCAGAAATTGTGATGCTTCTTCAGGAAAAAAAATCAAATTCTTTGCTTTTAGACTAGCTACACATCCCAGATTGCTTTGGTCTGCCTAGGTTTCTGAAAACTCATCTAAAAGGGGTAGAATGTGATATTTTATACAATAATCATGAACCTGTGATTCTTCATCTTAAGTAATGATGTCTCAACCGTGTCTTGTTATATACACACCGTGCAGATTTGTCTGATATATGTCTGCATAATGGTAACCCTTCAGGTATAAGAGGAAGATATGCTGTGATGTTCGGTTTTCCAGTTCCACTGTTCTGCAATCGATGTGGCCCAGAAGCATGATTCTTCATCTGGCTTTTAGGCTACCGGCCATTCATAGCTCTAGCTGATCAAATGCTGTTGCTGTGGTTTTTGACTTGCTGGTTGGCTACTAATTACAGCTGAAATGCATTCAGTTCCATTTTGTAAAATCATGCTTCTGAAGCAGCAATTGGTTCTTGCTGTTTCTAATGTTTGTGCTCAGGAGGATGCATGAGGCTGGGAGTGGGGAGGCTGTTCAGAAGACAGCCTCTGTGGGTTGTTTAGTGTTTTGGTTTTTTTCTCTTTTTAAAAAAAAGAGAACAACACCGCAAACAAAAAAATCCTTAAATTGTTGCTCAGTTATACAATTTTAACTGTTTTCTTTTGCAAAAATACTTAATGTCATGCAATACTGTAGAAGCAAACTGTAAATTTGCTTTTTACTCTTCATAGTTGATTAGAACCCATAACTTTTGTCATGAATGAAGTGAATAGACTGTTATCTCCGTAGCTGTGAAATACCTATAACTGTCCCTTTCTGCGAGTGAGGGGTTTCATGCAGTCATTGAAAACTTTGAAAACAGACAGAATACTTAGTTTCCAAATATGATGCAGATAATATACGTGGACTTCTTCTGGCTTTCAGTAAGCTGTCTTGGCCTCACTGTCTGTGGTTATTTTTATAACGGTTAAGGTATTGTACCACTTTGTATTTTCCTTCTCAGTTGCAAAATCTGCCTGATCGAAATGAAGTGAAGCAGAAAGCCATGCCTAAGGAATAAAGAAAGTTGTCTTTGCTTTAATGTTTAAGTTAAGAAAACAGAAATAATAATTTAATTTGAATTAACACTTCAATTTGGTCAATTATTATATGAAATAAGATGATGATTTTTTCCTTACCTTTCTCTTACCCTCCTCTTCCTCCAGAACGAGCATAGGTTTTCATGTCAGATTTAATGAAATGTTTTGATATGGCTACTTACAATAACAGCAGGGGGAATAGAGTTTGATTCACAAAGCTGCCAGAAAAGACTGGAAATGAGGAATCTGTTCTGACAAGGGTTCTTGCCTAACTTCAGGGGAACAAGGTTCAACCTCTTCCTCTCCCATGGAGTGACTGTGGCTATCCAGTCTCCCAAGCATCCATGAATGCCTCTTGAGCCAGGCACTGGGATAAACTTGCAGTGGAATTATCTGAGTGCTCTGTGGGAAGACGGGTTCTAGTTGTTGCTCTGATGGATGTTGCTGCTTCAGAAGCATGATGTTACAAAATGGGTCTGTTTAGTAGGGGGAAAAAATAATCTAGCTCAGTGTAACAGTACATCCTCAAAAGTTTTTGAGAAATGGTTTATATGGAGAAGTGACTGTGTGGAGAATAACAGCTGTTTAAAAAAATGCTGAGTTTTATATTTGGTGTAATGTCAACTGTAATGGAGATATAGATATATTTTATGATGGTTTAGAGTGCAGCCTTCTGACAAAGCAGGGTTGCAGCTGAAGGTGTGGTTGGAGTATGTGTTTCAGTGCCCTTGCCCTCCAAGTTAGCAGAGAATGCCAACAAGAAGTAGGTGTGGGTGGGGAGCGAGCGGGTGGCCGGCCTCAGGATTGCTTCATCCTAACCAGGCTCCCATTGAAATGCTGCCAGCTGTTTGCCTCTGGTGTTAATCACTTGTGGCTTGTTGTGAATGCTGTATTCTGTGATAAAGCCCACGGGAGACTGTTTCCACTGAGTCTTCTGGGCTACCTGACTGCTGCTGGCAGGAGGTAGTCAAGAGTGCTGTGAGCCCCAGACCTCCCAGGACCTGTGAATTTCCTTGTGAAAAGGGGGTGCTGCTCATCACTTTTAACATCCCTATCCCATATTGAGCCATGACTCCCCAAGCAGCAGTGCTGCCATTAGGTTTAGATTGTGTAGTGCCGCAGAGAGCCCAGGATGCAGCTGTGTTACGCGTGGACAGCAATGGTGGATGATGGTGCAGTCATGATGTGTCCATTGAGGTACCGATTGCCTTCATATGAGCAGGGGGGAGTGCTACCACCTTACTGTTTCAAGTGTCCTTGCTGTGCTCTTGCTGTCCTCCCACTTGGATTTCAGAGAAGACTGTGCTACTTGTCAGCTTTCAGAAAGACCAGGGATCTCTCTGCCATGCCTGTTAGCACGTGGTTTCTTTCTGTGTCTTCTAGTAGAGTTGCACATAACTGTCTGCACCTCAGGTACAGTGAGCTGTTCAGTGTTTACAGGCTGCCAGAGTCGTGATGAGGGAAAAAAAACCCCAGAAACTCTATAAATATGTGAACAACTTTTTTGTAGTATGTGAAGAGCTATATTTAACACTACTGAAATCCATTCCACTTCTTCAGTAGCTGTACGAACTGTTAATTCAGTATGTGTTTGACGTTCCTCAAGTTTTGCTCTCCTCTGGAAGATGAACTTGTTTTTTCTTCCCATTGAAAGACTGAGCTGCTCTGATTGAGTTGGCTTTTACTCTAAAACACATCAACACAAGGAGAGGAAATATGTTTTGTTGTAGGCAGGATTTCTGTTTTGCCTCAAAAGTATGGAAGTAGCCACGCTTGCTGAAAAAGATTTGTCAACAAATCTGAGCAGGAAAAATATCTGATAAATCTACTTCATCTTAGGGTTGCTGAGTTTAAGAACAGCCCTGTGAATTAAATGCTTCTGTATTTTGTTCTTTATTTAAAGATGGGGGGGATCTTTATTTGGGCAGGGAGAGGGGGGCAACCCAAACTGGAAAAAAAAAAACCAAACAAACCCTGAAATACCAAGACACACAATCTAAAAGGAGCGCCAGGTATATATCCCTTCCCTGCTGACACTTTGCAGGGAAACGTTGCATAGAGTAAATATTACCTCAGAGAGGTGGAGCCACAGTTATGCCATGGATATGCAGCAAAAATATCCAAAACTGACTGTTGCAAGGGGGGACCTTGATTCTGAAGTTCGTCTTGATGTGATGGAATTGATGTTTTTCAGCACTAAGTGTTCTGTTTTCCAGCTAGCATTGGCTGTTAGCACATAAGTGTTTTTCATAAATACTGAGTACAGAGAAGCCAAAGGATTTATTTTTTGATCCCTTAACAAATGACTTAACGTGACGAAGTTTACAAAGTTGCACTGCTTCCCCCTGCTGGAAACGGCTCTCTTCTTCTTGATGTCCTGGAGCACTTTCTTGCTTGCAGAAGCTTGTGGATTTACTGGTGAGTTGTTAGGATTCAAGCATGTGGAGACAGAAATCTGTCTATCTTAGCAGCCCTTTTTCGACTTTCTCATTGAAACCTTCCAATGAGAAACAAGATGTTGGTGCTTTAAGCTTTTCTATGTTCTGTACAATGCCATCGAAGGTGCAGCTCACTGTGTGGCTTTTAAAAGCAGTGGTTTGGTTCACATACCCAACTCCCTCCTGATTCCAACCTGGAATCTAACTCAGCTGAAAATAAGGTTCATAAAATATCAAAGTTAAGGATGATGTATAAATATAATAGAACTTGAGAGGGGTAAATGTGTTGAGCTCACACAGTGAACAGGCTGATTTTTACATGTGATTCTGTTCACAGGTGTGGTGGCTGTCCTCTTCTGTGGAATTACCCAGGCGCATTATACATACAATAATTTGTCAGCTGAATCAAGAAGTCGCACTAAACAGGCAAGACTGTCTTTCATCTTTTGTACATTGTATTGCCATAGTATTCTGTGTACTATTGTTTTTGAAAAGCAGCTTTATTGCTTGGCCATTAACATGTGACTGTTTTCTCCCTAGCTCTTTGAGGTATTGCACTTCCTGGCAGAGAACTTCATATTTTCTTATATGGGTTTGGCACTGTTTACTTTCCAGAAACACATATTCAGCCCAGTTTTCATCATTGGAGCTTTTGTATCCTTTTTTGCTCTTTGTGAGGTTTCTGTATCTTATGTGCCTGAAAACTTGTGGTGTCTGTTGGCTTTACCAAATAGAGGATGGCGGCTGACCTGAGTTTCCCTCATGTCTTGCAGGAACAAGAATTTTGAGAACAATCTTTGGTTACCCCTTACATGAAATCCCTAAGACTTCTGTGCCGCACAGTTGTTGGCTCTGTACCTGAGCAAGTGCTAGAAGCATATAATTTCAATAGATAAATAAATGAATATGCTTTACTGTGTGACTTGGCTATTGAGAGCCAGCAGTGCTTGTGTTGCTCTTGTATTCGAACTTTGGGGGCCTGGAAAGGATTCATTTTTTCTCTTCACTTCCAACAGTCCCTTGAAGAAAACAAACAAACTTCAGGTAGATAAAGAGGATCATGGGTGAACAGAATATCTTTGAGCAATGCCCCAAAGGTAGAGGTCAAGTTCTCAGGCGATGGGAGGAAGAAGGAACTGAGCTGTGGTGCAGACCATGACATGAAGGGTACGCACTGCTGAAAGGTGCTGGTGTTGGAGGTGGTTATCCAGTTCCCATTGTCCTTGGCTGATGTGGTACTTGGCTCTCAAATTCCCCAGAACTGAACACTTTCGTAGTAGTCACACTCATGTAAGCTGGGAATCACTAGATACCTCTTTGCACCACGCCCCTGTTGAAATGGCTTATGTACCTATTTCTTCACTATATTCCTGGCTGCTTGAAAATTCAGAGCAATTAAAAGTGTGCATGAAGAAATGGGAACTAGTCTTCCAGTCTCGATTTCTCTCTGCCTGCTGCAGGAGTAGTGCTATAGGCAATGAGATAAAACCCAGTGAAAGGGCATGTAAAGATGGCCTAATCCAGAACATATTTATTTTCTCTCCTTCTTTCCACTGTTTTCTCTCATCTCTGTACTGCTTCTAGGAATTTATCACATTTGTCTTTGTTTTCCTTTGGCCATTTACTTTTTTTCTGAAACAGTAATAAATTTTCTCCTGTGTATCCTCACGTCCATTCTTCTCACCTAAAAAATGCTCCAGAGCCCTGCATCAGATAAAGATGTGAACAGAATAGTTGCATCTGGTATACTAAGCATTGTAATTTTTCATCTTTGCTGTGGCCTTCTGTCCTGTCTCAGGCTATGCTATCTGTCTTAGGTTTGTTTTCAGTAGTTATTTTGTTCCTTTCTCTTCCTACCCACCTACCTTTTATTACATTTTTCACATCTTTTTCTACTATTGCACTTAACCTCTGTGGCCTCTTGAGTGTTTTTGTACCTTTGTAGGAGGGCAGCTAATACTAGCACCCACACTTTGCCTCAACAGCTGCGGTCCCCATTGAGTTAACACCTTGCGGGAGCAAAATGTAGAGGCATCATTAGCTGTTGAAAGAGAAAGGTTGAACTGCAAAGGCAGAGCTAAAGCCTCAGTGTCGTTGACATAATCCTAGCCATTATTCCTATATACACTGGTCATGATGGGTTCTGATGTCTGACTTCTGCAGTCCTCAAAAGAACTGCTATAAAAGTTGTTTGGAATAATTACATGAAGCTTTTTGTACAAAGTAATAATCAAAATCTTATCTTAGAGACATAATTTCCTGCAGACAGTATTGCTTTACTTCAGCTCTGGCAACAATCCATTAGTGTCTAGAGCTCTTATGTGGTTTTATTTCTTTTCCATAAGAGAGCTGTTTCATTCTTCTAATGTTGTTATGCCAGCAGCAAATGATCAGTCATTGGTGGGCTTCTGGTTATGTTGGTGTTTTATAGGATTTCAGCACATCACTCTAGTTTGTCCCAAAGTGTTCCTTAGATGATGGAGGGTGTATTCAGCTTTCTGCTTCTTCACTGGAACCACTGGATGTTTTACACTACAGTAAGGGAGGGAAGGAGCTTACCACATACTGTCATGAATTTCTGCAATACTCTTTTACTACTCTTTTTGAACTTCATTCTAGTGCTGACAAGTGTTTTTTGGATTTATCACCTTAGTAACTTTGTACTCCTAAGTGCTTGCCAGCCAGTAGGAGATTTTGTCTCTGCAGGAGCTGTAATGGAGTGGCCAGTTGCTGGTCTTATGTTGGTTTTCCTTCTGTACGTAGGACTGCATTTCTGTTGGTCTGAAACACATAATCGAATGGTGGTGGTGATAGCTGTTTAAAGTGTTTAAAGTTTTTAAAGTAAAGTCTTCATTTGTATAACTGGTAACTTTAATACTAGGTATAATTTCACTGTGCATTAAAAAACTTGGTTATATTAGTTAAAATTTGCATTCTGTGCAATGAGTTCTGTATGCACATAATTAGCAAAAGTCTCTTTTATATAGACAAAGATAACAAGAACACTTGATATCAGGATGTAAACTTCTCACTAAAACAGAAGCTTCATGTTTGAGCCAGGTACCCAAGAGTGCATACCATAGGAAAGTGAAATCCTTAACCCTCAGCTGTGAACAGATTGCAATCTTCTTGGGCAGAGCTGCACACGTCTACCCTCTCTCCTTCTTGTTGAATCTGGGCAGAAGGCATAAGATCAGCTGGAACTTTCAGCACATGATGATGTTCTCAGGTAAAAGCAAAAATGTTTGGTAAAGCAAAAACTCTTATTTTTAACTCATAAGCAATTTATACTTTCTGCTTTTATAATCCACATCCGTGCATCCTGAATAGAAGACTTAATGGTTGTTGCAGCGTGCAATCATGTATCTTTCAACCTTTACAGAAAGTGTGTCATGTCTGGGAAGAGTGACATCTTGAAATGCCAGCCGCTGGCAGCAAGTAGTCACCTCATGTTGGTAATGGAGTATTTTCATTTGAAGTGCATCTGAAGGGGATGGGGGAATTGGGATGCATCTCTTCCAGAAGGTTATTTCTAGCTGAGATGATGTACACATTGTGCAGAAACAGATACCTGCTGAGTAGAGAGGCGTATTTATGGGTCCCCTCTCCCATGTAGTTGGAGAAAGCAAGGTATTTGACTTAAACTGCCTTACAACTTCTGTCACACAGATAACTGTCATTTGAAGAAAATCGTGGAGTGTGTGTCTGTGTATCTAAACGTGCATCCTCAGGAAGTGCCAGGGATGCCTCTGTACACAAGAGGGTGTAAAGAAGAGGGAGCCAGGCTATTTCCAGTGGTGCCCAGTGACAGGACCAGAGGCAATGGGCACAAACTGAAACACAGGAGGTTCCCTCCGAACATCAGGAAACAATTTTTACTGTGTCCAAGCACTGGCACGGGTTGCCCAGAGAGGTTGTGGCATCTCCATCCTTGGAGATATTCAAAAGCCATCTGGACGTGGTCCTGGGCAACCTACTGCAGGTGGCCCTGCTTGAGCAGGGGAATTGGACCAGATGACCTGCAGAGGTCCCTTCCAACCTTAACCATCCTGTGACTCCCCTACTGAAGAAGTCTGCAGATGGCCAAATGCCATGGCTTGTCCTTGCTAGTGGAGTTTCATAATCGGGGGCGGGGAAGGGGGGGAATATAGTCTCCCTGTGAACATGTTATTAACTAGAATATTTTTCCAACTGGTAACAATTTCATACCAAGAACTCATACTTCAGTTATGGAAAAGTGTGAGTTTTCATTCGGATTCAGGGAGCTGCTTGATTTCCATAATATGTTTTGCTGTTGTCCACAACTTTTTTTCTTTCTGCATTTTTTTCCTGTTAGTTTCTGGAAATATTTACACCTTTTCTTAGCACTTTGGATTCTGTAAGTTACAGAAAACTACCAGGGCAAATTAATTATGCCCTGGGACGATTTATAACATAATCAGGGAAACTGAGGGAATTAAAACTTGCTGGAGCCCAGTGCTTTCTGCCTGTCACTTTGTGCCTGTGTGACAGGGAGGGAGCAAGGAAAGATGCTGCGTTATATAAATAGGCATGGTTGCGCTTCTGAAGTTCTGCTATTTCATTCTTTCGCATAGGTCTCAGGGGAGCTATGGCGTTTGCTCTGGCTATACGAGATACTGCTACTTACTCACATCAAATGATGTTCTCAACAACTCTCCTCATCGTCTTTTTCACTGTGTGGATTGTCGGTGGAGGTACAACTCCAATGCTGTCATGGCTGAACATCAGGTCAGTATGCAACTGTGTGCTGGGGAAACTTCACTTTTCAAGTGGCAACTGTGCTAATCGGGCATAGTCCTACAGAACTTATTTGATGCTTGCTAGCATCAGTGTAGATATTTAGGTGTCGTAGGTATTTAGAACATTATGTTTTATAGAGGAAGGTGCTAGTGCAGGCTGGTAAAGAAAATGTACTGACGCTGCTGGGATTCAGTCTAAAGTTCTCTGATGCTCTGCAAGTAGGTATCTAGGTCCTTGTCAGCCCAGCAGGATATGGAATAGTGTTGCCTGATACAGCAGCCCCTATATTGAAAAGAAAGAATTAATCTATCTAGTCCCATATAAAATTCTCTTCCTATTATATTAAGACATTTCCCTGTCTTTTGGCTCTGGGTAATGACCCTGTTATGTTTTTTAAGTTAAATGGAGTCTTTAGTGGGCGGTGCCAAACAGAATGCACTTTAAACATCTATTCAAACAAACCTGATGTTATCTAAAAAACTGGGATCCTGCTAGTCTTCTGGGTGTTTTTCCTCCTGTTTTGAGGAGACCTGTGAAAATGGTAAGTGGCATGATTATAGATGTTTGTCTGTAAATCTTGGCCAATACTTAGTACTTTTCGGCTGCAAGTACATTCATGTTTGAGGATACTTATCAACAGAAGTGCTAGAGAATCGTGATTCAATCATTGTTAAAAACCACATGTGTTATCATTCTGTGAAAGTTTTGGCAGTTGGGGGGGCAAAGGTAAATACAGTGGAATTAAAACAACATACACTGTACAAACCCTTCAGTGCATTTTTCATATGTAAATTATTTGTGCTCTTTGGCACTTGAAAGCTTGCTTTGTCTTGCTTTCTAATTGTGCTAACCAGAATTTGTATCCCCTTGTCTTGTGATAGGATAGGAAAAAACAATCTTAGGTAAAACCAGTTTCAGTCTTTGGAAGAACTCATCATTCTTAGGGACTGGTGCGGCTTTTGGAAAACTTAAGTGAACTGCTTGTGGCAATAAGTAGCAGGTGCTTTCTAGGTTGGCAAAAAAAAATGGATGGGACTCCCAGAAATGCTTGTGAACTCTTCTCATTGAAGGTAGCATGCTTCCAGCCAGAGACGGGCATTACAGCAGTGATTTACAGTATCTCAGCTCTGACTAACAGCAAACACTGGGAAGTCCTGGTTTCCTTTTTTTGGTGCCACATAAATCCATTTCTGTCCTTTAAAACTGTCTTTAAATGCAAGTTCCAGATGTTTGGCTAGCACACCAGAAAGAAGCATCACTTCCATGTAGTCAGGCTCTCTGAAGGTCATGTCGCTAACAACAGGTAATGCAACACCTGGTGTGAAGTCAACAACAAAAACAATTCCAGTGCAGTTGTATCATGAATGATCGTGAGATACCCTATAATAACAATATTTCTAAGCCCAGCCTGACTGGTTTCTGTTCCCATGTGAGAGCTGTCTAATGACTTTAAAAAGGTGCCTGGAATAGGTGCCATGTGCAGCTTTCCATTTGGCACCTCTGGCAACAGAAGGAGATTTCTGTCTGATGGTGGTATATAAGGAATAACTGTACTAATACACCTCCACAAGCAGGGCAGGCACAGTGTCTGCGTAAGCAGCAGTGCGCATAGACTGTCCGAGGCGTGGGGTACAAGGGAGCAGGAGATGAGTTCTGGCCAGCAGTACGCAGGTGAGAACGCTGCTTGCAGTCTGCTTGCAATGGCTGAGTGAAGTCTGCCAAGATCTGCCTGCAGCCTCTGCAATGGCTGATGTGGGGATATCCCTTGTCTGATCTCCACTTGAGTGGATTCCAAAGCATCTTTTGAAGCATTGCTGCAACCATGGTCTACCAGGTCAACAAAACTGACTCTAACAGCTCTCATCGTAGGTGCTGGCATCCTGAGCCTTCTGCCCTGCTGCCTGCACCTCTTTTGTTGAGGGAGCACAGTTGGGTATTTCCTTCAAACCTTGTCATCCAGCAAGGGACAGGATGCACTGCTGAACAACTAAGTGAAGAGGAATTGTGTTCAGTCTGCCTGTATCAGAAGGCAGCTTCTGAGCGCAGTCAACCATTACCTCTGCCACAGGGCTCCTTCAGTCGTCAGCAGTAGGACAGGACTGAATTCTAGCATGTGGCTCAGCTCCTGGCCAACTGGAAACCAGTTCTGAGGTAGCATCTTTTTTTTTTTTTTTTTTTTTATTCCTTTCTCCCCGTTGAGCCTAGGAAGCAGTTTGTGGAAGCATTCAAGAATATGCACTTAATCCTTTAGTAGGACTAATCTGGTTCAGTAATAAGACTCCATGAGCCTGGCTGATGAGTTGCTCCTGAAGAGAGAAAAGGCTAACACTGTATTCATTCCAGGTTTGCCCTTTGGGTAGGCTATACTTGCAAAAATCATTAATGTGGCCAACAAGGCAGAACAGCTGGAAAGGCTATGATACTATTCCTAGAGGAGTAGCTGCCAAAAGGCAGTTGGCTGAACCATAGTTTTGAGTGTTTAGCTGTAGTTTTTTGGGAGATTTACCCATTCTTGCTAGTAAGCAGTAATTTTAACTGTCATTTGTTCAGCACGGTTGACAGAAAATAAATGGTTAACTTCCCTATTAAGGGAAGAATATCATGTAAACAAGGGAACTCTACATAGGAAGTATTTTAGAGAACTGCACGGGTCTGCCTACAGCTTCCTTGATGGCACTGCTCTATTAATGATGGAGATGGCACTTTTTGAGACCACATGAAATCAGATTTGTGCCAGGAGATGGCAGCCGTGTGCAGCTGATCGAGAATTAGACACTCGGTGCTGGTAAAGTACCCTTTGTGATAGAGCCCTTTCTGCTGGAAAGCAAGTCCTGTCTGACCTTACAGATTTAAGAAAGGGACAAATTAGTTTCCAGCTGAATTTTAGAAATGCTGCTTTATGCTGCTTTTCTCTTTTCCATCCTTTTCTACCCAGCGGAAGAGATAGGCAGGAGGAGATGAAGATGAGATGCTGTGCCAGTGCCTCACTCGGCAGCACAGTATATAGTGCTGATGCAGTCCTGAGGCTGTTCAGTAGGTAACTTGTCCCTGGGTGGCCTGGGGTGCTTTCTAAGCCTTGGCACTTGCCCATTAGGTTAGATTGCAAGAGGCTGGAAATAAGTAGTGCTCCCATACAGGATTATTTAGCAGAAAAGAGGTTAAAAGATAAAAGGTGGTTTGCTTCCTAGATTAAGTGAAGGGACATAAGAAAATAATGCCATTTGTGTGTTGGACTTAAATGTCAGGATTTGTGTGGACTCCTAAAAGTCCGGCTCTGGTGTGAAGTTCACACCAGTTGTATCGTGGTTGACTTTGGCCTTTGTGGAAGGAGAGATGGAAAGCCAGTCAGCCATTACAAAATCCTCATGAAGTAGTTGGCCTTGTTGCAGTGTGGAGGTGAGGAGAAGACAAGGGCCTGCTTTAACAAAATATCGACCAAGCTGACTGACCCCTTAGGCTGGTTTAGCTTGCCTGGTCATTGTGTGGCAGAGTGGCGTTACTGTGATCGTGTGGGTACTGGTCTGCCCATTAGTGGGGTTTCTGGGTGGCCCCTTCAATAGTTCCTGTGGGCTGCGATGGGCTGAGCTTCTTCCCTAGGAACTGCAGGCGCATGTCTGTTGTACTGGGCAAGTCCGAGGAGCTAAGACAGATGTCAACACCAACGGGTCTTATTTAAGGTTGTGCCTGCACAATTTAAGTAGAACAGTACCAGAGAGCTGACTCCAGCCAAGACTTTCAGCCTGGCTTGATACCACTACATTCATGGGGAGGCAGTTGCATGCACGTGTGATGCAGTGCCTGCACAAGGATCCAGAATTGCTTTGCTGTGGCTCAGAGGCAGAGGCACATGCCTCTGGCCGCACCGCTAATTGCATAGCAATTGGGATGCATGCTTTGTTCTTTACTTCTGGTGGTCCCTTCTCTGCCATGATGTGAAATGTATTAAAAGTAGGTGAGGGATAGAGAGGCTAACATGAAAATTAAGTTTTGGTAAGGTAAAAAGCAGTATAAGGAGGAAAATAGGCAAAAATGCCCTCTGCCTCCTCTTGCTCTGTTCTGAATATCTCAAGTAATCAGAAGAGCAGGTATCTTTCTAGATAGGGTATGTTGCCAGGGTCCACTGATGAGGCTTAAATGTACAGTTAAGCAGAGGACCTATGGTTTGTAGCAGAGACTTAACTTTAGATTACTGCTCAACTGGTTGGAAAGTGAGGTCATGACAGCAAAATCTGAGTAAAAAATAATGGGATCTTTAGATGCTTTTGGTTTCTGCCACTTAATGCTAAGCAAGTTAAAAATTAATACCAGAAACCGGAGTTAAAGCCATGATGTCATGTGTTTGAATTTCTTGGCTGTCTATCAGTGAGATGTATCCAAGCATGTGAGTGGTAAACAGTTATAGTTTTCTAGCAGTAGATTTTTTTTTTTTTCTTAGAAACTAAAGCATGACTTGGATATTAAAAATATAGTCTCATCCTTTGAGACTAAAACAAAGAAACAATTTCCTGCCTGAAGTTTTAACAATTTCAGCAAACTCAAGAGCCCTGTAAATCAAAACCACTGGCCAAGTTCCTCTTTTCAGAAAAGTAGCTGACTCATCATTTCATTCATCTGTCACAGGGGAAAAAAAGAGAACTCCTAGCATTTGTATTGCAAAATAATGTTTTTTCCACTTCTCATTAGAGGTTATTGACCTGATTCTTTTCATGTTGAATGAAGCAACATGTAGATTAATGCCTTCCTCTCCTTCATAATCTGCTTCAAATGAGAAAGTTCGTGTTTATTTTAATGAAGTAATTTCAGTTATATTTAGCAACCTTTTCCTAAATCTTAAAGCATTATATCTTTCAATTTAAAATATTTTAGGTATCTTTCTACCATAGAAGTTAAAGGTTGTGCAGACAATGTCATCTTAGATATTTACTGCCTTATGTCTGACTTTGCAAATACAATCTTTTTAAGAGCTTTCTACTTAGTGGGTTTTTTTA